CGCGCCCGGCCTGAACTTCTTACCCTATTAAAAAAAATTAATTGGGTTCCTCATACTCTTGCGACTCTGCTTCAGATGGAAGGTGTGAGGGTTTATGAGCAGAAAGGCTGCTTAGTAGAAGTGCTGGCTTTTTCAGTGATTTAGTCAGGGAATGGATAGGTTCAGAGTTAGGTCCTCAAGCCAAGAGAACTGAAGCCAGCGGCTCTTGCGAATTGGCATATAAATACCCTCTTTGCCCCTTGGGTTGGATAATCTGAGGCAAGCATTCTACACTATTTCCCACTGCTTCCCCTGGAGCTGAGCCTCCCTCCGTAGGTCCCAGGGAGGCCACCTTTTCTTCCTTGTCTCACTTCCCTGCCCCAACCCTGTGTTTTCTGCATCTCTCAAATAAATGACTTCCACACGAACCCTCGTCTCAGGGTCTCCTTCTGGGGGAACCCAAACTATGATAGATCCTCTGGAGAATTTTAAGAAATGTAGTGTTATATTTACGCGTGTAAATGATTATCCTATCCTACTGTGTAAAGAAAGGACTGTAGAGACGGCAGTCATGGCGGGCAACCAGCTAGGAGGCTGTTGCTGTGGTCTGGGTAAGAGATGATGGTCTATCCGGCCAGCAATTCAGCAGTGGAGATGAAGGGAAGCAGTTGAATTGGTTAAGTATTTGGAGCTGGGACTGATAGGACTTGCTGATGGATTGTTAGTTAAGTATGAGGAAAAGAGAGAAGTCCAGGATGATAAAGCAGCTGCTGCTGTTTGCCCATCTGATACCTGTTCCTCCTTTCTTCCATGTATTAGAACCCTGGTTTGTGCAGGGTGGCAATGTGCCTGGTTAAAAAGCCATATTTCCTAGCCTCTCTGACAGCTGGTGTGGGGCTTGTAACACAGTTCTGGACAATGTGAGACAAGCAGAAGGCTGCTAGGGATTTCTGAGAATGTTTTGCTATTGTAGACAAGGAGCCATGTAGCTCTTTGTCTTGCACCTTGATTCCTTCCTTCTTTTTTTTTTGTTGTTGGAGGTGGATGTGAGGCTGGAGGTAGAACTGTCATCTTGCAACCATGAGGACAGTGGAGAAAAAAGATGAAAGGAGCCTAGGCGTTGCTGTCATTGAGGAGCCACGGCAGAGCCTTGCTTGCCTGCTCCTGGTTCTCTCATTATGCGAGAAAAAAAAAAAAAAATGACAGCTCTCTGGTTAACTGGCTTCTATTACATGCAGCCAAACACAATCTATAAGGTTGAGAGTTTTGATCAAGCAAATGATGCAATTTACTAAATGGGAAGGACCGAGGAAGAAGTCACGTCGGTGTGAGGGCATGTGGGCAGATCAGCAGATCTGTTTAAGGTGGTATTGGACATCCAGGTGGAGTTTCAAATGGGAAGTTGGATATAGGATTTGGTCTGGACCTCAGGGTAAATGGGGGACTGGAGATGGAATTGGGAGTCATTCGTATCTACATGGTCTTAAGCCACAGGATTAGAGGAGGTCACTCCAGATGAGAATGTGATAGTGAAGAAGAAACATCTGATGGTTTGCTATAAGGAAAAGGAAGAGCCATAAATGATAGAAAAGAGGCATGGCCAGGGAAAAGCAGGGGAGTGTAGGCTTCAGAAGCCTAGAGAAGATAGCATGTGGAGAAGAGAGAAATCCATTGAGAGGTGGAGTTTCATGAAAACAAAGACTCGACCACTAGATTTGGGAAGGTGAGATCATCTGTGACATTGGTGACACTGATGGGAGTTGGATTTTGGTTACAGAAGAGCCTATCTTTCCTTCTCTGTTTGTTTGTTTGTTTGTTTTGAAATGGAGTCTCGCTCTATTGCCAGGCTGGAGTGCAGTGGCGTGATCTCGGGTCACTGCAACCTCCTCCTCCTGGGTTCAAGCGATTCTCGTGCCTCAGCCTCCCAAGTAGCTGGGATTACAGGTGCCCGCCACCACACCCAGCTAATTTTTGTATTTTTAGTAGAGATAGTGTTTCACCATGTTGGCCAGGATGGTCTTGATCTCCTGACCTTCTGATCTGCCCTTGCCTCGGCCTCTCAAAGTGCTGGGATTACAGATGTGAGCTACCTCGCCC